ACGGGGGGCGCCCCCGCTGAACCGGCTGGAAAAGAGGGGAAAAAAACCCTCCTCCCTTCCGTGTGTGTCGCACCTTGGGAAGGCGCAGCGGCTGCCTTGGGTCAAGGTCTCTTTTGCCTGTTGTACTCCTCAAAGGAGAGGGCGTGACTTGGTGACGGAATGGCTTTAAAGACCTTCCGGTCAGAAACAAACACATTAAAGCTGTATAAAAGACATTGGTTTTCGGGTAGTAAACTTCAAATTGCCCTGAGACTTCCTCGTCTGAAAAGATTGTTGAGTGTTTGCTATAGAGATAGCTTTCTCTGGATCTAATAGCTTTAGCCCTCTGGTTTGCCATAAGCTTTTCAAGCCCTGCTATTAGTCAGCCATCCTATTTTCAATTTAGAATTTAATTTTTAAATTGTGTACATTAAAAATTAGAGTTATGCTTATGATGGGAATCTGTTATTGTAATGTCAGATATCTCAGGAAAAGCTTTTTGTTGTTTTTCAGAATTCTTTACCTTATCTGTTCTGGAGGGTGCGTGCTTGGGTAGGGGAGTGATGAATTTTGTTGCCCTGTTATACATGGGATGGATGTAATTTCTGTCATTGCTGGCTTTTTATCCTTTCCCTTGTAATCACTGTAGCAATAATGTGTTTTTTGAGAGTTAATTTTCTCAAATCAGCTATGAAACTAATCAGTTCTTGTAGAATAGCATTGTCTGTGTTAAAGTGATGTCTGGAAACTCTGAGATAATAGAGTAATAATGTGTAGAAGGAACACATGCTTGATATACAGTCTAAGGAACTTTAGACAGACAGTTCCTCTGTCTGCTGGGTCCTCAAGAAGGAAATATTTGAGATCATGGTCAAGACACCTGTGGGAAGTTCCTCAAACAGTGCAGATGCTATTAAAAAGGTGCTTGTTTAATATGGCAACAGCCAGACTGTTTATAACTTCTTAGTGGAAATAATTCCACATGTTCAACAGGATTTTAAAATCTTGGCCATATACAGACACAGGTCAGAGAGTGACCTTTTCAGCTTGTGTATCTTTGAGTAAATCTTGATGGCCTTATTTCATAATTTTTCTCTTAATTTTTTCCCTCCGCTTGTCAGATTTGCTGTAAGTGTTGGCTACTGGAAGGACCCTTACATCCAGTATTTTGTGAGGCAAGCCAAAGAAAGAAAAGCACCTGAAATCAACAGAGGCAAGTTGGCATGTGAATGTGGATGAAGATAATGCAGATATTTTCTTAACTAGTCTTGAAGAGCACCAGACAAAGCTTCCACATGCTGGATGTTACAGAGTGTAGGACGTGTATAAAAGAACGATAGAAATACTCTTCAGAGGCAATTACATATTGCATCTGATCTTTTAAATATTATTCTTTTAATCAAAACCCTTGTCCTTTGCTTTCAGTGTTCTGAATAGAGTGTCTCTGTGTTTCTCAGTTAATGAGCAGTAATCTCTACAAAGTAATCAAAAATGTTGATTTGACCCAGGACAGCAGGGTATATGCCAGCTCTGGCCTCTGCAAGGCTGAAGTGTCCACAGTGCCTGGAATTAATCTGGTCTAATCAAGGTGAAACTTGACTAAAGCTTTATTTATCCAGGAAACACATTTTTTTCAGTGCATCAGATTTTGTTAGTAATTACAAATGACAACATTAGGTATCTTAGAGTGTATTATTCTTCCCAGGAATCACCTTTTTTGATAGACAAAGAGTTTACAAAGTTACGTAAAAGTCTGTGTGTGTTAATCAGTTGATATTATACTAAAATAATTTAAAAAAAACTTTTTTCCAACAGGGTATTATGCTCGTGTTCATGGAGTCAGTTATCTGCTTAAGGCTTTTCTAAAGAAGACAGAATGCAACTGTCAAATTGTTAATCTTGGTGCTGGCATGGATACTCTATTCTGGAGATTAAAGGTAATGATAGCTGAGAGTAATGACCACAGACAGATTTGTGCAGGTCTCTGAAGTGCTCTTCTGTGAGGGCATGTCTATGCTGTATTCTGTAGTACAACGTGGGCATGTGCAGCTAGCCCAAGTAGTATGGCAGACTGTCCAGGCTGAGCTTTGTCTCAGCTTGCTTAGAATTTGTTTAGGTATCTTTAAATTGCACTTCAGGATGAGAAGATGTTATTTTCACTGGCTTCTACCAAGTGCGTAACATGAAGGTGACCTCTAGTGGACTTCCAGGAATAGAGCTTGAACGTCACACATTGTTATCCTCTGAAGTTTAGGATCTCACTTTTTTTAATCCTGTATTATTAAAACAGAAGTGATGTACCAATGTATAGGGTTGTGCGTGCCCTATTTACCAGTTTCTGAGTTATTGCTTTGTAGTTCACGATAATTCAGACTGTAATTCCAGAATGATGTTATTATCATTATCATTTACTCGTTCTGAGTAAATCCAGCTCTAAAGCATCTTAGCTTCTCATGAGCATATATTTTTGTAAAATTGTTTCTGGAAGAAAGTCCAAAGAGGTTAGTTCCGTTTTCCTTGGTCACAAATTGTTGTTACAGTCAGTGGAAGAGAAAAAGATTTTTTTGAGACATGGAGTTTTCCCCTTACCTACATTTCTATGAAAACTGTCAATACACAATTTTAGTAAAATTCCTGTAACTAAGATTTTAAAAGTTAAAGTGGGGCCCTTGATTCCAACTCTCTCTTAGTTGTAAATAGCAGATATAGTATGATTAAGGTGAAGAAGATGGGACCTACTTAATCTTGTACTTCAGTGTTCTGACTAGTGATTTAAACTGCTGTTCAGAAATGCATGAGATTGGCAAACTGGAACTTGCAGTATATGTTCGTCATAAAAGGTCTGCAGCATAGGGAGAGACTTGGCAAAGCTTATCTATGGGGGTGTCAAACCATGCGTGACTGGGAAATGAACAGATTTTCCACTTTTTTGTAATAGAGGAATACTGATGTTCTTGTTGTCTGGCTGTCAGTTTGATGACGAGCTGTGGCAGGTAGTCACTTTCTGTGTAAACCTGTGCAAAACATTCCTCGTTCCTTGTATAGAGTATACTGGAGATACATGGTAAATGTAATAATTGTTGCCTGTTACTACGCTCTTTTAAATCCTGATAGTATATTGTTGGAACTTGGGTGTCAATGATCTCATGTCTAAGACTGCAATATAACATAAGCAGTTGAGCTTTTCTTGATGCTTAGGGGACATGTTAATATCTCTTGATTTTCATTTTTTTTAAGCGGGGAGACATTAAGGAATACTAACTATTATTAGTAAATGAACCCCAAACTTCTTAGAGCGTAAAGGTATGTTTTTGGTTTTTTCCTCATGTGCAAGTGAAACTTGAATAGCCCTAAGGCTAAACTCTTATTCCATTTCTCAGGATGAAAATCTTCTCCCTAGGAAATATTTTGAGGTGGATTTTCCAATGATAGTTGCAAGAAAAATACATAATATCAAGTAAGTATATTGCTTGTGTTTTACTATATGAAACTGGATTTAATTCAGTGGGATGTCATGAATTACAAGATATGGATGTTAATTATTACATCCCTCTTCTGAGAAACAGTTCTTGCTCTAGGATTTGGAATAAAGCTTTGATTATACAGGCGAGTCATGCGTGAAACTGTCCAGCCGCTGTTCTAGGTTGGAGAAGTTTTGTGGAAGTTTTAGCGGCAAGGGGAAGGCGGACTTTACTTTTGAGTGAGAAGAATATAAGGGACAGAGGAAGCCTCAAGATAATTAGAGGCCATTAAATCTACTTCTTTTACTACTAAAGATGGTAGTAAATTCCCGGAATTGCATGTTGAAATAGAGGTAGGATAACTGATACTGTATTTGAATATTCTGTTTCAGTGAATAAACTAAGGCTTATGGAGAACGCCTGCAGAAAGCATCTGGATTTCTCTTGAGATATTAGCTCAAAACTTAAGAGTCACTGGGTTTTGTTTGCTGGCTCCCTTTTGGGGAAGGGGGCAGGGGGGCAAAATTATTATATCCTCACGTGTAAAAGACAACCATATTACTAAGTCTTAACTTGCAAACGTTTTTATTTCCAGTAGATGGCAGACATACTCTTGTCCATATATATATAAAATAAGTATATGTATTTAAGCACACAGTTAAACAAGCTTAACTGCTGAAAAATGCTTTTTCCTTCTTCCCACAGATCAAAACCTCCCCTGTCAAAACCAATTATGGAATCCCATTCAGGGGAGTCTCTTCTAATAGGTGAGTCATCTTAAAAACAAGTCAGCAATGTGCTGCAGCACTTTAAAAACTTTTCTGATTGCTTTGCTCTGCTATGTGGGCAGGCTTTTAATTTTGCAGCACTGTGTGGACAGATTTGGGAAAGAAAAGAGGCTTTTTCTTCTCTTCTCTTAATATTCTGTCCTTTTGCTTCTGTGTCATATTAGAAATGTTTTCTCTTGAAGGGATTTTATTCTGTCTTCCAGTTTTTTATTTCTTCCCTTCATGTAGTTTAACTTGTGGTTTTTTTTCTCTGTCACAGAAAAGGAAAAATGCTATTGAGGATCATGCATACTTGAGTAAAATCTATTGTTTTTTACCGATCTTTTTTCTAAGTGCACAAGTCTTTACATTTAGCAGAGTCTTCACAGTAGAAATACAGTCTACACAGTCCGTTCTCGGAAGCCAGTTCCACTTCGTAACGCTTTATACTCCGAATTTTAGTTGTTGAAGTTTTGCTTTCATGAGAGCACCTTTACCATCTGCCCAAAATACTCCCCCCCTACAGCAAGGTACCAGTTATCCCAAATAGTATTCAAACAAGGATGCTATGCTTAGGTGCTGAGGTTTGGTAGTACTCTGTCTTGGCTTACCAGCATATTGCTTTTTGTCTCAAGATTATAATTCAAGAACCTGTTTTACTTGTGAAACAAATATGTTCAGCTCTAAGTGGTCTCGGTGCCTGAATAGAAGATAATGCACTGTAGTAGCTGTTTTGGACCTTCAGGAGGAATAGTAATTATCTGCATCTAAGATACCAATTTGTGTTATCAGATGTGGTCCTAAAACAGAGCTAGAGTGGTCTTGTGTTTCCTGATAAGATTAATTCCGTTGGTGCTTTTTGTGTGCACAATCCTAGCTAAGGGTCTAGAGGGCACGAAAAGGCTGCAGTGAGGAGGTGTGCCCTTACTGCCAGAGGCAAGATATAGGTGAGCCTTTACCCTAAGGCTCTCCTAGTGCTTGAACTTGGACCAAAGTTCTGTTCCACTGATTAGGTTGTGCATGTTTATGCATGTTATGCACATTTTATTGCCGTGTATTAAAGGGTCTTATCCTTAACTTGCCAACCTTGTACATGCCATTTGAATAGCAGAATTATCCATTGCTAATTCAGATCTCAAAAGATGAAAACTCAATGACCCAATCTCAGAAAAAGGGTTTCTAAGTATCACTCTGTTTCGGGGAAGAGACCTTCCTATGACAATATGATACAATGAGATATTCAGCATAAACATTCTTAAAAAGGCATTAATACTATGAATTGCCTCTGATGGACCCTGTGTTTGTGTTACTGAGCAGCTGTAGGTTTGCTTAGTGCAACAGAATAACAGCAGAGTTATCAAGTTGCAAACAGTGTATTGTAGTTAAAAGCTACTAATTAACAAGTGACAGCAGTCAGCTGCAATTATTGTGCCATTGAGTATGTATTGGAGTGGCTTATTTCTCTAAAACTGATTTGCTTGTTCTTTTTCAGTGCTGGGTTTTAAGTGCTTTGGAGTAGCAATTTTACTCCAGCCAGGCTGAATGGGTCCTGCCACACTGAGATTGTTGGTGTGTAGCCTAACATTCAAATATTAGGAGATGGTGGAAGTCTGTTGTAGAATGCTAGTTTTAACTGGCACTTAATAACCACAGATGAGTTTGAGTGAATTCCATGTTGGAATCCCCCTTTGAGGGACATATCAATGGAACAGCATCATATGAAAGGTCCAGTAGAAGAAGTTGTGGAATAAATAATATTCAGACTGTTCAATTTGTTTGTGTGGTCCTAGAGATTTCTTAGAGTTCTAAAGGAACTTGACAATGAAATAGCTCAACTACTAACTGGTGTATACCCTCTCATTTTAAAACTGTCTTAGTACCTGAGAACTGGAAGGTGGCGACTGTGACTCAAATGGGCTCCAGGAGAAATCCAGGGAACTACAAGCCAGTAGGACTGATGTCTCTACTGGACAAATTAGTAGAAACTCTAACAGACAGACTTAGTGGAACACATGAATAATATAATGTATTGAGAAAGAGTCAACATGGCTTTTGTAAAGGTAAGTTGTGCCTCACAAACCTATTGGAGTTCTCTGTAGGAGTCAACAGATGTTTTGGACAAGGACATCAAATTAATACAGTGCTTGAATTTCTGAATGTCTTTTGGCTGAGTCTGTCACCAAAGGTTTCCAAATAAATTAAGCTGCTGTTGGGGTGGTGGGGGGGGGGAGGGAATGATTCTCCCATAGATAAAGAAATGGGGGTGAAGGGTCAACATACGTGGTTAATTTTCATTGCAGAGGGGGATAGAGGTCTGTGCTCAGGGGTGTGTTGTTCAGAACGAAGAAATTAGGAAAATGGAGGTGGCAGCTTGTTGGGAATGCTACGCTCTTCAGAGTGGTAAAAAACTGTAGGAGAACCTTACTAAACTAGTGACTTGGTGATAAATTCAATGCAGACAGTGATACACAGAGGTGAAAAATTGTCTGCCTCATATGTGGAATGATAGGCTGCTGGCTGATTATTGCTGCCCAGATACAAGATTGGGGTATTATAATAGATATGTGAAAACATCAGCTTACTGCTCAGTAGTGGTTGAGAAATCCAAATCAAATTTAAGAATTCTTAGGGGAAAATTAGAAAGCAGTTACACTGGTATAGCATACATGCTGGCTCTTTTTTCCCTGGATAGCTACTGTTGGCCTTTGAGAATTCGGATACCATACTAGGTGAACCTTTGGTCTGACCTGATACAGCTGTTAGAATAGTTTTAATGTCAAACTTATGGGAATGTTCGCTGTCACAGGGATTGTAATGTGGCATAATGAAGCAGCATTTCCAGAGGGTAGTGCAATGTTACTCATTCTTGTCTTTTTTTATCCTAAATCTGTTCCACGCTGTCTTGTATGTCAGGAATAATCTGTGTATGTACTTTGGAATTTGTTGCTTGAATTGATGTAATATTCAGTGACACGACTCTTGTTCTCTTACTGCTTTTCCTCTCATGCTAAATGGCTTCATTTCATGGAACTAGTGCTAAAAGACAACTTTCTTGACTTCAGGGCAACATCTGCTTTCTCCTTGCCCTTTAGAGAAAGAAATGACAGCATGGCTTGCAATTCAAGTACAGATATTTGTGGACTCTTTGCCCTTAAATGCAGCAAGATGACACTTGTCATTGAACAGCTTTGTCTTTTCCTTGGGAATATTAGCTCTCCAGGGAAGAGCAGTGGAGTCATGCAGTAATTTGACATTGCTGTGGCAATATCAAGTTAAATTGTTTTCAGAGTTCAGTGACACTGTCTGGTTTATGATGAAATCACTAGCATCAGGAAGGTAGTACCCCACCTTTACTATGTTGCAGATGCAAATTACATTTCCATGAACTGTTGCCTTTGTGTCACTTAGTGATCCACAATTTTTGGCTCTGTCTTGTCCAGCTTTGGGACTTGGTCACTTAACTTCCTTCCTCCTGCATTTCCAAACTTGCTTGTGACCTAATAAAGACGTCAGAAATGTTGATGTCTTGCTGACTTGTATGCCTTGTGTTGGGGAGGATCCTGTGTTTGCAAGACAGACCGAACTTCTTTGTTTGATATACCCTTGTTCTGATGTTGTAGTTGTAAACAATCTAAGTAAAACAGGTACGGTGTTAACAATGCCTGTGAGCCTACAGAGTCAGTTGTATGGACCAACTGTTTGTAAAGCTGCCAAAGATACCTTAGGATAAATCTTAATGAAAGCACTTTGAATCAATAGTATCCTGCCTGCTTTCTGTTGGAAAAGGTCTAGGAAAGTGTTACACTAAGCTAGGAAGGAAGTGAGGAAAGAAAACTCTGAATTCTTGTAGCAGAGGTGGTACTGTACTTCAAGCGCCAGTGATTCTGTAATGCTTCTTCAATACACCGATTAATGTAGGGAGTGAGTGCCTGAGGGCCACCATAAAACTAAACATTTATTTGCTGGTATAACAGTTAGCATGTTTTTGTGAAGGGGAACTTTATTGTAGTGAGGTCAAAAAGCATCTATAAGCAACACTTACTAGCATTCAGTTACTGTAATGACATCTAAATTCAAACCACTTGTATTGTTACTTCCTTTCAAAAAATCATGGAAAGTACACCATGCAGTTGTATGATCAGAGCAAGAAATTCTATGGTATTATGCCTAAATAATGGGAGTGTGCCCCTAGGAGCCTTTGTGCTTAGGAGATGGAGGGGGTGATTTTCTTTCTCTCCTTCCCTCTTCCCTCCCTGGTAATTCTCAAATGAAATATGAATCTGCTAATCCTAAATCCTTTATTTCATAGAAGTTTAAGTGATAAACATTGTACAAAACTGAATAGGCTGAGTCTAAGCATCACAAAGAAAACCATAAGGTAGTTCTGTGTTCTTTAAAAAAAAAAAGAAAAAGAGCATCAGGATTAATCAACTTTGCTAAAGCCATGCTGAAATACTGACCTCTGGAAGGGAGTTAGTGCTTAGAATGAGATTTTTCAATGGATTAAGTCACTAAAGGTTGGCTGTCCCAGCGTTAGGGCAGCTGGCCTGAGTCACAACAAGGTGGCCCAGTTTACTTAAAAACTGTCAAGAGAGTCGAGCTTATGAGCAAGACAACAGAAAAGATATTCATAGAAAGTAAATCCTTTCAAATAAGTATTTTGGTTTCTGGGGGCAGTTTCTTTTCGAGCACAGAGTGCGCATTCACAGTGTGATCATGTAATAGGGAAAGCTTTTCCATTCTCAAACTGCTTTTTATACCTGGTCCTTGCTGAGCTGCCTTGTGTGTTAGTGCAGTGTGGGTGTGTTGTCCTCCAGCCCAGCGCGAGGAAGGCAGGCAGCAGCACTCCTACCAGTGGGCAGAGTCCTGGTGGAGCATGGCAAGGCTTCTGTCTGTGGGGACGTCGCTGTGGGAGATGCCTTTGGAAGAGTGAGAGTACAATAAGGAAAAAAGTAGGGTTTTTGTTTTCTGTTTTTATATAAAGAAATTGATTCTGTTAAATGAAACTTCTTGTTCATAGTAAGAAATCTGTGACGCCAGTGTGACTGCACTACCAAGCTGAAGTTTGCTTTTTCTTTTTGAGCTGCTCTGTAGGTAGGTTATGTTGTAAAATACATTTGTATCAATACTGCTCAATCAAGATGGCAGTATATCTTCAAATTTTCATGTTTAAAGCATTAAACTATGCAATAAAGTTGAAATTGGTGCCAAAGACCACGAGCTAGCATTGCATTATATTCTGGGGTATTTATGGCCTTACTTTGACTTTTGGCCTCCAGGCTTGGAACATCAACAGCTATCATCAGCTATCTTTGTCCTGCATTAAATGATTTTCTGCTATCTAAATGTGATGTGATGGAACAGTTATCTGTCTGATTTAAAAATTTGAAGTTGTTTGCCTAATAAAGCCTGATCTCTTCATCCCTTTGACTTTATATAGAAGAGGATATTTTATGTCATATATAGGCCAAAGATGGAAGCTGGTAGAAAATCTTACAAAGAATTTTAGAAGAGGCTGGACTTAAAGTAGTAAGACGAAAGAGTTTCTTTTGCCTCTACTTGCGTTTAAAAACTGCTTTGTGTAAATGTCAAACTCTTGCTTAGGATTTCCTCTGAGGTAGAAGTATTGTTCATAAATGTTGCTAAGTATGAATTAAGGAGATATTTAATGAGATGCTCTCAGGTATGTTTAAAATGTACAATTTTTAGCAAATGTACCAGCTTGTGTGTAATAGGCATGCAGCTCTGCCTTAATTTTCATCTATAGTTGTCTGCCAGCCATTAGTGGAGGGACAAGAAAAGTTGGCAGGAAGCTGTGTGGAGGAATGAGGAAGAAAGTGCATTTAGAGCAAAAGACTTTTGAAGAAAGGAAGAGGATCCATTCCTCCTCAGCTTTCTTGGCCCTTTAAAGCTTTCTGCTGTAAGGGAGTCCTGTACAATCCTAAAGAAATTCCCAGGCATTAGGTGTACTTATCTTTAAGATTTAAAGACTATTTCCATTGGACCAAATCACCCTTAAAGAAACCTATTCTAGCTTTTTCCAGTAGTTAACTTGGAATAACCAAATTATGACTAGATGACTGTTTTCCCTTGCCCCCAACCAACATCTCCAAAAACAATTCTTTAGCTCTCTTCCAAGCTATATGGCTTAGCACAGAGGATCACCCAGATTACTTTCTCTGGCTGTCCCCTCTCCCACCCTATCAAGGCTTAACAAATTCTATTTTTTTACATGTGTATACAGGCTGATTTAAAAATGGTGTTAAAATTTGTGATTGCTGAAATTTGAATTGTTATGATGGAGTTCTCTAGAAGCTCAGTTTCCTAACCTAAAACTTGAGAGCTTTTGTTCTTTCCTGCTCTTCACTGATAAATGCCTGAATCAACATGGTGCAAGCAAAAGGCATTTACTTCATCTCTGGTGAAATGTTTGTGCTGCTTCTTTAGGGATCATGTAAACATTTTTTGCAGTTAGTATGTTAATTTTGATCAGAAATTAATGTTCAAGTCAGTGAATCTGGACAGCAGGCAAACCAGTATATAAATACTTTCTTTCCCCCTCCTCCCCCTGCCAAAAAAAGCCCTGGTGTTCTGCTTGTACCAGTAAGCAATCTTTGTTCAGCCTTTGGATGCCATTATCGTGGTCTTGATATAATAACTTAAATAGAAGGGTGTGGGAAGTAGTGTAGCTATTATAGAACACGTACATAGGAAAAAATCTTGACTCAAAATGTTGAATCATTTGCTGCACAACTTATTTTCTTCCTATAACTTTCTACATGAACCATTCTGTTTTTTAGTACCTGTTCAGAAGTATTGCTAGAAATACAGTAATTGTCTTGCTAGTGACATGTCTGGAGAGCTGATCACTCAAAAACTACATGGAGTTGTATCTTCTAGAATGTTTGAAGCACTGCTTAATCTAATAAATTACTGTTTCAGTTTTTTCTCCTGAAATTGAGAACCCCTTTCATCTCGTCTCTTCAGCCACTCTGCTCCTTTTTCTCTCTTCACCTAGCTCTTGACGTGTGCTCCCGTGTTGCCGTGCGGAAGCTGGGGCTGTCCGCAGCAGTGCTGCGGGGTCCCAGGCGGAGCTGTGCCACAGCTAGTGATAGCTACTGCAGACATATATTGACTGACCACTAAAGGGCCACTTTAATCTCTCCTTCTGGGATTTATCCACGTTTAGTTTACTTATATTACTACTTGTTCTGATTGTCACACTCATGCTGTAGGAGGTGACTGGGCTTATGTATTTAAATTGGTTGCAACTGAATGTCAGAATGTTGTTGATAGCAAAATGCTCATGCTGCTAGTGGCTTCCTTAGGCTTTTGCTGGTATGAGACAATGGCAGAATGCTTTTCGACTTTAGTACTAGTTGCTCCTTTTTATTGGAAAGCAATAATAGGAGCTTGCTGCCTGTTGTATGCCAAGGGGGCATATTTGCTTCTTGGAATACCTTTTCTGAACTTGTAATTCCAAATCTGTAATACCATCACCAGATCATATGAAAAGCCTAAATTATAATTTTTTGAACACTTAACCTGTGTGTCTGATACCCATATATTACATAACTATATGTATTGTTATTTTATGATATGGTTTTACTCTTAACTTCTAATTTTTCATAAATTATTGAAGGAAATTTAAAAATATATTGGGTCATCCAAAAAGACTCTAAAACAATAGAAAAAACCCTCTCAAACAACCTTTCCTCCAAGTCTTTGATCCTCGCATTTTTTCTTCTCTGTTCCTTGAAACCATGGTAACAGATGAGATAAACTATCTGCATTATAGTGGCTGCAAAGTAAAAGATTAGGCTTGTTACAGATTCTGATGCTAATATAGCACAATCCATAAAACATAATTGGTAACTAATATTTTGAGAAGAAGAGTTTGCTGTTAATTGTTAGGTGTAAAATATCAAACGGACTTCAACCTCATGTGGTCATGTGTTTTTGTGGGGTTTTGTTTGCTTTTTAAGCCATTTTATAATTTCAGTATCCCTCTTATTTGTAACAATTAGTCTCTCAAAATTTAAACCTGCAGATTCTCACAGCCTAGACTCCAGTCGATATTCCATAATAGGAGGAGATCTCCGTTTCTCATCAGATCTGGAGGAAAAGCTAAAGAAACATAACCTGGATATACAGTAAGGTGTTTTTTGCTTTATTTTGTTTTTGAGGAGGGCTTGTGGAAGCAGAGTGGTGAGAGTAAAGTCAGACTTGGACATACAGTATCTGCATCCAGTTATCATTATGCTATTTCCATGGTTACCTTTTTCTGAGCCCTTTGAGCAGAAGGGATTGTGCAGACACCTCATGTAGCCTCATGGAACTGAGCAGGCTGTTATTGCAGTTAATGCTTGGTAGTCCAAGCCTGAAGCAAGGTTGTTTCTTATGTAGTCCATTCTGCAAAATGCATTTTCATCTTCCTGAAAAGATCAAACTTTAAATAACTAGTGGTTTCTTGGTCTTAAACTGCTGGAATGAGTGAAGTCTTTTTTTATTATTTTTGTGAACATATGTCTAGTGGTTGCTTGTCTTTGATATATATGGTCCTTTCTTGCAAGTTAAAGCTATTGCTGTAGGTCAGGCAGTTGTAAGGCCTTCTCTCTCTTTTTTCTTTTTGTCCATTAGAGGATCAGTTCCCACAGCAGCCATTCTCTGTCTTAGAGCTCCCCAGAGAGAAGATTTTTCTTTATTTCATGAATCTAACTTTTAGAGATGTCTATCCTTTTGCCTAATGTGGTTGAAATTTAGCTAGTAGAATCAAAAGTCAGAAGAGGGGGGTGTGCCTGCATGGATGTATGTATACGCAAAGCATGATTGCGTAAGCTATTCCCTTAGGAAATTAAGCTAAAAACAGTGTGGTCATTGTTCCTCTCCATTGAAAAAAGGGTGGTTATTTATAACCCAGTGCATTTTCAGCATCACTATCTAAAATTCAGATTTTCCCCTTTGTATCAAAAAGCCATAAGTTGCACTTTTTTGAGTGGAATCTTCATTGGTTCAATTGCATTTTGTTAATGCTGACTGATGGATAGTATCTAGATAAGAGAATGTCTTCCACCCCTATTGTTATGGGGGTATGAGTCAAGATTTCTAGGAGCTTAGCTGGTAAAATGAAGAATAATTCTGCCTGAAATATTTCAGAGTTTTATCTTGCAATTAGTTTCTATTGCCTCTGCTTAAACTCCTCTATTTCTTAGACTTTTTTGGTAAGCAATTGTTATGGAGTCCTCTGAGAACTTAACTCTGGAATCTAATGTCTGGGATTTTATTGTTCAAGTTTTAGGCATCTTGGAGGGGCACAGGGTAAGTTGTTAGAGTGGATGATGGACATGCCTTTCAAATCTAAGGTGTATAAATAGCAGCTGTCTGGCTGGGTAGGAGAGAGCATATGGGAAAGCAGAATTCATCAAATTGCCATTAAAATCTATGCACCTCCATCTTCTGAAATCTCATCTTTGCTAGTCTACATTGCTGTTTCTGGTTATTTCTTTCCTGTTCGTTTCAGCAACTAAAAGAGAACTCCTTAATTCTAAGCAAAATTAATAATCTTTTTTGTTGATGGGGGAAAAGAGGCAATGTGCAAACTATAGATTGTATTTTGTCGTGTAATACATGAATGTTTTTTCCTGATACTTGAATAAATTTGTCTAATTATAGTTCTTTAGAACTTATTTTAAGAGCAGATTTTTTTTCTATTTGTATTTTATTTATAGTTTTAATGCTACCTAAGAGAGCTGATTGTGTACACAGGCTGATTCTTCTCCAAAATGCCTTTTAATGTGTACTTCTGTTCATGCTATCACAGTTCAGAGGACACTCATAGGATGCAGATTGTTCTGTGTTCATAGCATGGCTGGCTTAGGGGGGATTGTTTCCTAATATGCAGTTTTGTAACCATAGGAGTTCACTATGGTTAATTTGGCAACTGCCAGAAAATACCATTCCAGTCCACTTGATGAAATTATTTAATTCAACTTTAAATGTCTGGTTCATAAAGATGTGGGATTTTTTAAGAGTTTTTGGGCAAATAAAATGATTCCCTTGCTAATAATGCTATATAGATTTTTTTTTTCCTGTTGTTTTACTAGAAATATTTCTCCTTTTTTGTTTTAAAGATTGCCAACGCTTTTGATAGCAGAATGTGTGCTGGTTTACATGACACCACAGCAATCCGCAAATCTTTTGAAGTGGGCAGCAAGCACTTTTCCAGTGGCAATGTTTATAAATTATGAGCAGGTAAAACAAAAATGATGTTTCTAGAACTGCATTTTAGTCATAAGAATTGCTTTTGAAATTGGGAGTTCTACCTCTAAAGTAAGAGTAGGCTATATCCTTTTCTATAGACAAGGGTTCTGCTGGAGTTATTTGGTAATGTGTCCTATCTTGTAGATATGTTAGCTTATGTTGTATATTCATGTAAGGAATATACAGTTGGTCTGAAGGATGATTGCTGGGCCATCTTGAGCTAAAAGAACTGACACAATGCATTTTTGAAGACAACTCTAAAATCTTTTAGATAAGACCAGAAGTAAAATAAATGATATGAGTTTATAGCATTAGAGTTCTTTGGCAAAGTGGAGCAAAAATCACATCAGCATGAACTGAGCTTTTCTGTATGGAAGTGAAAAGCTGCCTCAGGGGAACTAGGTAACTCTAGGAATTGGTAACGAAATCTTCCTTATTCTAAATCACTGCTAGAGATCTAAACCAAGCTGCTTACAACCTAAAGCAGAGTCAGTCTTCAGTTCCCAGCGCACAGTTCCTGTGCTCGTGAAGGAAATAGCGTTATCACTAAAAGCATTAAACTGGCAGTCAACATGCAAACGTGACATAGCTGAGGAGGAAATGAGACCTGGTGGGAGAATACATGAAACTTACTTTAATGTTATCCTTCATGTTTTATAGCATAGAAAATTAGAGTTTAACCAAGTTACCACTTTCCACTGCAATTACATTCTTTTCAAAAAGGGGAAACACTTGTTTCATTCTCTATCTGAGGTGAATATGACAGATCGATTTGGACAGATCATGATTGAGAACTTGCAGAGAAGACAGTGTAACCTGGCTGGAGTGGAAATCTGCAGATCTTTAGACTCTCAGGTAAAGGCACAGAACTCTGGTGTATTTGATAGTAAACTTAATATAATATATCTGCAGATTCTGCTTCTGTGTGGGCATTGTAAGGCTCCAAGCACTGACAAAAGCAGGTTTTGCATGGGGCTGCTGCTATCTACTGAAAACCTTTCCCATCCACGTTAGGATCATTCTTTGTTAATGCCATGGTTGCTAGATATCACCTAGCTTTTGTAATTGTACAAGAACTGCACTAGATCAGAGCACAGCTCCGTCTAGGCCACTGTACCCTTAGTAGTGGTTAGAAGCAGTTGCTTAGAGAAGAGTATAGAGCTCTTCATTGAACAGGTCAAGCCAGGTGGCCTACAAAATCCTTAGGGGAAAGACTGGTTTCTGGTATTCTTTCCTTGAGTCCTCTGAAAACTGTGCTGCTTGTTTATTTTACAGAGGGAACGATTGCTGGTAAATGGCTGGGAAACTGCACATGCCATGGACATGATGAAAGTGTACAGCTTTTTGCCACAGGCTGATGTCAAAAGGTACTGCTGATAGCTTGCTTGCAGCCAAAAATCATCTTCAGATGCCGTTTCTAACATAGTTCATGCCAATAAGTAGTATGGGATCCCCTGCTGTATCAAAAGGGAGGCTGCATATGGATGCTAGCTAGCTAGGCAGAACTTGGCTGAGTTTCAAGTTCCTGCAAAACCTTAAGGTTAGTGCCTGGAGCACTATTAATGATCTGGAAGGTTTTCTTGCTACAGGAGTAGATTGGCAGTGGTGATTTATTTGGGTGAGATATAAAGTAGCTCATGGCAGAAATTTGCAGATAGGGGCTACAGCTATGTTGAGTGTTTGCAGTACCTCAGATGTTTCTTGTAAACATCCAGCCTCCACAGCACTAAGAGTCCTAAAATACACTCAGAACAGACAGCTACTTTTCATGTCCACAAGGGAGGTGATGTCCAGATGTGTGCTCTAGGCTCATAGGCCTAGATAAGGCTACTTATCCATTTGCTTTTCTACTACAAGTGGGTAGAAAATGGCCAGTCTTGCTGCTCTTTCCTCTCCTTGGCAGAATATTTGGGTAACTAGCCAAGGCAGGGCAGTAATTTTAAGTGCTGTGACCTATTAAGTTAGGAGGTGGGGAGAGGTCTGCGCAATATAAAGAGGCATTTGCACGAGATGGCGTCTTCTGGTCATATTGTGCTCATAAACTAGAGCTGGGTTTGTAGATGGAGCTTAGTACATAGAGGGTATAACTGAAGATATTATTCATGTTTCCTACCTTCCTTAGAAGATACAATGCATTGCCTTCAACGTTCAGTATGTACTGGGTTGATATACCCAAGGGAGGCGTTTCTTAGCTGAACGGCCGAATGGTTGCTTCACACAAATGAAAGTTGATTAAAATAGGCTTACTGTGATAATTCATTTCCCAAATGAAGTTCCTTGTTTTCATTGTCATCTGGTTTATCATAAAATACTTCTGTGCATGTGAGTTAAGTAATTCTGCACTGATTTTGTTAAATTTCTAGCATTAAAGAAAAACTAAAAAGGGGGGAATTGTTTTTAATGAGTAACTTCCTAGCTATTTAATATGAAGTGTAAATCACTGAGTCACCCATTAACTATAGTTTGAATTAGCCAAACAACTTACCTTGATCAAGATAAATATTTGCATATGGGGATTTCTCAAACCATGGAATTGAACAGGTGAGACTGAAAATCACAGGTTGTTGAAACAGGAGTGATGACTATGGGATTTTACCATATGGTACTTGTGGCACAACATAGTTGACACTCTTTTGTGGCATTTTAAACTGTTATATCTATTCAGCTCCTTCTACTTATTCCTGATGCCAATAAATAGGTTATGTAAATTCTGTCCTTCAGTATTAATATGACGGAAATGATGCTTTCTATTTATGAAACATCTTTGACCCACAGTTCTTGTACCTCTGTGGATATATTTACAAACTGATGCCCCTCAGCTTCTCTTAACCCACAGTAGCAGCCTTTCAAAGTGTTTAGTGTGGGGCAAATAAGCACTCCAGTATTCAAGTTACCTAGAGAGGAGGAGGAATGTACCAGGTTAAGTGTTTTAAAGCAAGGACAGCTTGGGAGTAGTAGGGTTTACTATGATTTGTTTGGTGCAAGGCATTAAAATATCTTATATCAAGAATTCTAGATAGAGACTGTCTTTAGAGAAAATTCCTCAGGGCTTATATGTATCATTTGGTCTGTACTTCATCATGAGCTCATATGGGAGCATTGTTAGGGGCTGCCTTCGTCTACTAAGAAAAGCACCCTTCCAAGACATCATATGGGCTTATTGTGATTGTCTGAAGAAAGTATTATCTTAAACTGTTACTGTTATTCTTTGCTAAAGATTAATCTCCTTCTGTTAGGCTATACTGTTGTGTCTACATAAATCCAGCAAGACCAGATACATGTAATAAAAGAGGTTAGAAAAGAAATCTGGGTATTCATGAGAAGTTATGCAGATTAATTCTGGGACACAGAATTCCATGGACTAGAAGCTGAAAACATCTTGTGGATCCCTAGTTTAATACATTGACAGCAAAGGCTAGGAGCAGTGGTATTTTCATTATGGAAATGTACCTGTATTCATTTGCTACAAAGGTAACTGACTCTACTAACTTTTCATATCTTCCTCTCCTATGGAGTAAAGATGTGTATGTTATGAAATTATACTGAGACTTTGATTTAAAATCATGATTTTTATTTTATCCCTACAGAATAGAAGGACTTGAATTCCTAGATGAAAAGGAACTCTTTGAACAACTAATGCAGCACTACTGCCTCTGCTGGGCTTCAAAAGACAGCAGCAATCTGGGTAATGTTCTCCAAGATCTAGAAGGTGACCCTTCATGTTGAAAACTTATGTGGAAAGACTGAGACTATGTACACCAGATGTATGGTAGAAGTATCCTGTGGCAGAAATGGGGTCTGCTTCTCTGTTGTTGTTGGGGCTGTGAACGCCTCCCAGGTGGTGACTCGTGGCTGTTTCTTCCACAACCTTCTGAGGGTTTGTATAGGCATCTGAATTGCCCAACTGAAAGCCTCTCTAGTACAGGGGAGTTAGAATTTTTACGCTAAAAGATGCCGTATGGGTTACTTTAACTACCATGCCTTATAGTATCAGTGCTAACTGAGAGGTTTACAAATCCTGTGCATGTGAAGTGCCATATGGGCATGAAATACATAAAATCAGTGTCCCGACAACAACAACAAAAATTATATTACTTAGCCTGGTTTTATCCTTCTGCCCTGTCCCCACTTATTTCTACCTAAAGGACTGACATTTTCCATGCTACTTGTTCCTGGGGGGGAAATAATTCTTTAACTCTTTAAATGTTTTTTTGTTCTTAAAATTCTGTCTCCCTAAACTGGAATTTCTTTGGCACAAAGAGACGTGATTTATGCTTTAGGTAGCATTATGTATGTTGCTGCTGTTCAAGAAATATTAATATCAAAAGAATTGTGGTTTGGGTGAAGGATAGATGTCTGCAGCCCTTCCTTGTCAAGAGTTAGAAAGACAACTCTGTAGGCAGTTTGTCTTTACTTCTGCCTGCAGTTTCAGGGGCTTAACTGTTTCCAGAAAGCTTCCGGGCTGCCAATTTATCTTTTTCCTCCCCTTCTTTGCCCCTCCTTTGCTCGTGACAAAAGCAGTATTCAAGAAAATTTTATTTACTGTTCCTTACCAGGTATGAATGGATGGAATCTTTGCTAAAATTGTGCATGTATCTCAGCCACACTGAGTACCAAAACATCTGATAGCTGATAAAGCTAGATCTACAAAGCCCTGGTGCTGCTGCTGTGACAGAGGGGCCAGCTTGTGGTGTCACTTAAGCAGAATCCTACAATTGCTGTAGTTTTGAGCTGCAGAAGTGAACAATTCTCACTTGATTTGTGATGTCTAAAAAGCAGTGACTGTAAGAGAGAACTTATTTCTAGAGGAGCTGAGCCCAAAAAGTTGACCTCTTCATGGTAGTCAATATTCCTGGGATCTCCGTCATTACACTTTGCTGTGATTAGAGAAGTATTCAGGGTAGTTGTGTACCGAAGTTGAACGATGCAGCATATCGTAGAAGTCAAAAAGACAAAAGTCAAAGGAGGCAATCAAATGCCTAATGCCTGATTATGCTTTAATCTAAAGTGCTTGTTTTTTATCCAGTGTGAACTTACTGCCCTCTGTAATGCTACTTTTCCCTGACTTTCTCCTGTTAATTCCATGGGCAGACCCTTACTTCCCTTAACAGCCTCTATATTGTTTCTTGTACCATGAATAACTTCAGTACTCATTCAGAGTGGTATAATCAAACTGATTGTTGCATTGCAATCAAAAATGCATTTGAGGAGTACGATTCACCTTGCTTCTGAATTTCCTTGTCTGCCACCAAATCTTACTTTTCTTTTTTAAAAACTTCTTAAAGCACCCTTCTTTCCTTGTCTAACTATACTAATAATAGCGAGGCATGGGCAGTATAACAATAAACACTGGTTTCTCCCCCTCCTTCCCACTTTTTTTTCAAATAGGTCTTGCAAGCATCACATTTTAATATATTTCCTTGAGGGGATCCTTGGGCCCAGAAGCCACAGCTACTGCCTTCTGCCAGAGACAAGATCAAAGAAACGATGGGACTTTGCATGTGCCAACTTCAGTTTGCTCATCTGTGTAAGCAGTGCCAGTGAAAGAAAATGACCAGCGCTGCAGATGCTGACTCTCGGCTTTTGGTAGTTTTAATAAATCTTTTTTGCCCATTGTGAGCAGTTCTGATGCAAGACTTGCCTCCCTTTTCTGGATATATGTAATGATGGACTTTTATAAGATGTCAGTAATTCCTGTTTGAAAAGCTCACCTTCCTTAGCTTAAAACAAAGTAAAGTGTTCTTCTATTGTATTTTCCTGTCTTGTCTTTTTATAGATGTGTAAAATGCATTTGTGACAGGAAAGTGGGAAAACAGTACTGAGCTGCATTATTGGATATCTCTTTGCACTGCACAGCCGATCATGAAGGTTAATCTTCTTTCTCTTCAGGTTTCATTTTTGTGAAGAGCCAATCTATTGGCTTTCTTCAGGCCTTTACTGTTGTGACAAGGCTGTTGCTATATTTGGCCCCTTCTTGTAGGGGAAGGGTGAAAGAGGAAAGGGGTCTATGATTCGTAGTGATGTACAAGAAACTGGATGATGTTAAAGCAGACTTTATTTAACTGGAAAGGGCTTAGTTTGCCAGTTCAGCATTGGGTTTGTAAGGGTAAGAAATATTCACCTGCATTGGCACTGCTTCTGGCAGTATCTTCACACCAGTTTCCTATTCTTTCCTCTTGAAAGAAACCCAGCGGTAACAAAAAGCCCTACCCTGTTGTTTGAAATAAATCTTGCAACCTTCGTATAAGAAAAATAAATGTCTAGTATTTATAATTTGCCTAATGTCTTACTTGTCAGTAATTACCTGGTCATATCTGATCTAGTCACTTTACAGCATTTGTATCTCACCAAATGCCTCAGCAAGAACATTTTTTAAAGCAGTTGCAAGTATATGAAACCATCACTGTTTGTGACTTTCCATAATGTAAAAATGCCTGGCTTTGGAAATATTTATACGCGGTTTTGGACTGGAGGACTAGGGAAGAAGGTTACTGAGATTCCAGAAAAACTAAACGGTTCTTAGAAGTGACAGTCTTAATTTCAGAGGTACAGAAATAGTAAAAGGAAATGGCCTTCACATCACTGCTCATCTTTCACAGTAACACGTCAGTTTTAGTTGCTGGTAGCTACATGGTGCCCTGCTGCTATGTTTCTGTCAAGCTAGTCTATTCAAGAAGGCACAGAAATGTGCTATGTAGTTAATGCTCTGCTTGTCTATGAGAAGTGTTCATTTAAACTCCCCTCCCCCAAAGATGGAGGCTTTGTGCAACTGTGAAAGGAGCTTATAACCTTTGCTTCCTAGATAGCAATCTCAATGGTATGCTTGTGCCTGCACCTTGTATGTGTTCTGGCTTAACTGCGCGCCCCCTTCTATTAGGGGGCATATGCAAGCTGTGGCTGTGTAAGTGTTGACCCTTTCTCTCTGCACATGCTGGAGACCCGGACAGTGTCACTTAGTTGTCTTGTTTCCTCCCCTTACCATTAAAGTTTCTTCTTGTGCACTGCAACTATAACCAGAGGATGTAGGGTTTGCCATTGGGTGGTTTCCCGTTGCAGTTGCCTGCTGTCCATGTTGGGGAAAGCAGACTTATTGATGAAGCTTTCTGTTTCTTGGGAAGCAGGGGGTTGTTAGCCTGCTGCATTTAATAGCCTGCAGCTTCTGCCTTCTGGTTTCACGCTCTTCTTACTTTCCTTTTTTTTTTTTCTGGTCCCACTGTGCAGTTGTTCTGTCATATCCTACCATAAACCCAAGGAGCTAAATTCAACAAGGATCTATGAATCAGTCTTAATAATACCTTCTCAGAGTCCCTCAAGCTTACTGTCTAGTTAAATGTAGCATCTATGCCAGAGACCTGGAAAAAGAAAAAAGCAGCATGCCTACGTCCCCATCTTGTACAGTTTCTCCTGAGTGGACCAGTGTAGCTGTGCCAAGAGTAGATATTCAGCAGACACAAAAAGGGGCTGCATAAGATACTGTAGTTGATATCACCTTTCTCTTACCCCTGAACTGGTGCCCTATTCCTCATTGACTTTAAATCAAGATGTGGGAGGTGGGGGAGAAACAAACCCTTACGAAAACTAAGTAGCAAGTAATTACTGGTTGGTATTGATTAATGTAAGGGCATCCTGCCAGTTTTGCCTTTACTAGCTGTTGCTGGTATTCTTTCCAGCAGCTGAGCAATGTGCAGAAGTTGTGGAGCACAAGTTACAAAGCAGTCCAGAGAGCTGTCAAAGAGGAATAGCAGCAAGCATCTACCTTGCTGGTGTCTGCTGCTTTAGAAGGTCAGTGCAAGAAATACACCTCTGAAGGTGTGCAAGTGAATATTGGAACCTTAGATGTAAGTAGGGCAACTCACTAACTGCCGAAAGACAAGAGTATCTCAGGGTCACAAGGGCAGGATTATACTGATAAAACTTCATTTGAAAGTCAGTGCAAAATCATATCCACAGTAACTATCCAGAGCATAGCAATCGTGGAAAGATTCTTTATGGAAACGTGTCTTTGTCCTCCCTTTGTATCCTGTTTTTGTTCAGGAGGCAGGGTCGGACAACTGACAGGGCTAGCCAATTTTAATGTGCTTTTGACAAAATAGCAGGAAGAGTCTCTTTCTAGCCTGAGATATGGGCTTTAGAAAAAGTAAGAGAACCCAAGAATCTCAGTCGATTCTGCTATTTTGCAGCAATTTTTTTCCTCTTTTGCTCTTAATCACTATTGGTTGGGACAGCAGTTTTATTATGAATGTACAGTCCGTGAAACCAACCTACATTTTCTTTGAAATATGGATCTGATTCTACTGATAAGAACCAAAATCTAGTAAAAGTTTACTTGTCAGTTCTGCTAACGTGGTTTAGTGCTGCTGTGGAGCTTGGCTTATTTCTATGTAAAGCTTAGTTACTCTGGAAATGTACTCAGTTTTACTCATTTGCTAGTCCAGGCCTTGAGCTGTCCAAAATTGTATGGCTTTTATAACAGAGTCTCTTCACTGACAATTGGTTTGGACTGTCAGACTTGTTTTTCTTTTGTTCTACACTTGAAGTCTACTCTTCAGAAATGAAAGCCTCTGGCTTTCTGAAAGAACTGTTAATGACAGGTGTATATTTAAGTTGGGATTTTGAGGTGCTTGTCTTCATGCCCCTTCATCTCCAGCCCTTTTCCTTTACCCGAGAGATATTTTCCCGAGTCTGAAATCCTGGTAAATTTTTTATTTGGATGCTGCCATCTTCAAACTTTTTGATGTCGTTAGTATCACATCTTGGATTGTGTTTCAGACAATGAGGTTGCTTTTCTTCCTTTTAGTGAGCTTATAGCATGTGAGACCTTCCCACCTACAGATACCTTGACTCACGTGAGAACTATGCGACTATAGGGTGTGTGTTGTCTCGCAGGGTCGTTTGTGAGGTTTAAGATGTGACGTTATGAAGGCGTTGGGCACTTTATTGCTTTGCTTCCATTTTTAAGAAACAGAGCGCTCCTGAAATGCACAACAGTGAATGCTTTACTTCCTCCTTCAGAGCGGGCTGAAGCACTTGGGGAACGTGGTTGAAATGGGATCTGTTGTTCTGCCAATTGATGCTGTATTTCAGATTCTCCTCGCTTCAGGTGAACTGAGATAATGGAATTTGGATTGTTGTTGTTGGAACAAAGTGTGCTGGCTTTGCTGTGCTGTGGCTTTTCCGCACTTCGGGAGGAGAATTCTCCTCTCTTCCAACCTTGTCAGGCACCTAACTGTTCTTGACTATTTGAGGTTCTCAGAATTTTCATTCTAACGTATATAAGAGCTAGTCGGAACTTTCTTGTGTGTTCAAATAGATGCAATTATCTTCCTTGCAATTTATGGAATAAAAACTTATTAATGGATGACTAACCTTACAGAATTTGAGACTCCTCTATGCAGTTCTGACGAGATATCTGATTCTGCCTGTAGTACTCTTTGATACCCTGTCCACAAACGGCTCTGATCTGACCTGCTGGCTGGCATTACCTGTATTGGGTGTTGTACCAGCACTCAGAGATGGTGTCTATCCTGAAAAACCTCATGATTTGAATTAAGGTGCAAAAAGCATCTGGAGTAGCTGTGTCAAAGGCATTTGAATATGAAGATGTGAGAAACAAGACAAAATGTGCTCATAGCTAAGTTGGGCAGGTTGCATGACTGTTAGTATCTCCATTAGTAAGAATCGGGGATTAAAACAAAATCAAAAACGCTATAACACCCTCTGCACTACAGCAGTTGTCTTGGGCAACGACTAATGCTAGCTCTGTGGCAACAAAAGTATCCTCCTGATTTCATTTTATTAAAAATGAGCAATTGCATAGTAGCATATAAGACCCATCTATACCATAAATCTAATATTAGCAGGAGCCCTTTTGACAGCATGCTCCTGGAACACAGTTTCTTGGAACACATCTTTGCCCCGGTGTTATGAAGGGGAACCAGACTGAAGTCTTACCTGCTCTGGAACAAATGTGTTCCCTTTGAGCTAATTGGACATCCAAAACAGAACCACCAAACTTGCATTTTTGATACAAACAGGCTTTGGATGTAGTTCACTATAGGAGAAGGTTCGGTGCTCTATCAGTCGCAGTCTTGTCCACTTATTTGTGGCGATTTGATTCGTTCTGCATTTGGAAATGTGTCTGCTGGTATGAGGGAGATACTGGTGGCGTTTCTGCTAATCCGTTTCTTTAAGTCCTTGTATAACTTGTTCACCTGAGCGAAGCACTGAAGAATGCAGTATAGGAGGAATACTGTTATAGCGGGATGAAAGGCACAATAGGTGCCTCGCTCCATCTTTGCCTAGGTGAATCTGACTGTCTCACAGCTGCTCAGCAGCTAGCTAGAAGAAGGGAAACAATTCCTGTAAGAACTCTTTGAGAGTTTCTTTTAGCTTGGTCGCTAGCTGTGGTGAAGAAAGTAGGTCACATTGTGCTTCAGGGTTACAAAAGGATCAAAAGAATTTGTGATTTGTAGGAAACTTGGAGAAAATGCGTGGGGGTGGTCTATCTCTCATGATTATACTAACTAAAATAAATAAATCTTTCACCTCTCTTCAGGGAGCATATGGTTTTGGAGAGTGCCTGGTGCAGCTGAAACAATGCTACTTTGCTGGAAAACGAGACAGAAATGTTTTTGAAGAAAGAGTTGGCCTTTGCTTTCTGTTTCTTCTTGCTGTGGTTTGCATCACTGTTTGCCAGTAATGTCTCCCTTGAACTGCCCGGTGATCTCTTCTCCATTTTCTGCTCATGATCCAGCCTTTTGCTCACGTTATTGGTCTTGACAGTACAGCAAAATTCACACCTGCAAATGATTTGTTTAAACAAAAAGAATAAGTTAAGCTTGAGCGAACTGCAAGGTAAGAGCCAACTGCATTTCCCAACCAACCAACTACAGCCCAGGAGCTCCATGTGTTCCCTTTAGTCTCCGGCCCAGCTTGCAGCTTCTGGTGTTTGTTGAAGGATTTTTGTGACTGCCTGGTCTGGCACTGCCTGCATGAGCCACCAACTGGTGGTCTTTGGAGTCAATGCCAGTGGCAGTTTGTGCTGACAGAAGAGGCTGTGAGCCAGTCTTAGTTGATACCTGCCCCTAGATAAGGGCACTTCTGTTGTCTTTGTCACTGGGATATCTCATATCAGCCCTGAGTTTAGCTCTGGTCTCCACGTCATAGCCACAGCTTTGTCATTTTGTTGAAGATCGCTTGAGAGTACTTTAAGCAGTTACCTCTTTTCTACCGGATGTAGTTTTTATGTCTGTAAATGAGGTAACCATAGGAGATGTGATGAAAACAATAGGAAGGATTCTTATGCAGATCTCCTACGGTAAGGAGCATGTAGCTATGTTGCTAACTGGTTGTGAAGCACCTGAAAAGTCACATCTCTTCTCTGTCCTTGTGTTTAGATTGCAGGCTGCGCAGGGCCGTCCCTCCTGCCTGCAGTGCATTCGGAAGGCTTGGCCACGTGCAGCCTCCAGGCAGGACCCCAGTAAGGCAAACCATGGCCCTGCATAAGGATTTAAAAGAAGAATGACCTATTGACTGCAGGAGCACAATTCTGTCAGCTGTGGGGTTTGGGCTGGTGTGTGCATGTGTATGAATGGCCTGTTTAACAAGCTCTAGGAGGAAAAATGAATAGTGGAGGGGGGCGGCAGAAAGAATTATGTCTAGTTGTGCTTACTGTTTTTGAAGCAAGCCGCTATTAATCCTGTTTGCTTCTCTGCGTTTGTGATTCTGAAGCATTTACAGGATGAGGATTCTGAGTCCAGTTGCCATGGCAAACTGCAGGAGTGAGAGCATGTGGCCCTTGCCTGCCTTTAAGATGCCTGACAGGTACAAGAAAATCCTCAGGCTGAGTCCTGGATGCTGATCCTAGCTCTGTCCACCAGAATGGACCCAAAATTTGACCGCGCTTTAGGAGGTAAGACTCTACTGCGCTAATCTTCCATTTAAGGGACTGATGCCTGAGTGTTGCCTACTTAGTTGTAAAAGATCAATAGAAGAAATCTTTTCCTTCTAGAAAACCCAGTTATTCAATTCCTCACAGGGACTATCCAGCTGTTTCTATCTAGGAAGTGAATGAAAAGCTGTTGTTAGCTTAGTGCATAGTGTTTCAAGCTTTTCCAAAAACTTACCAGTTCCTAATTTTGTGCTTACAAGATTTCTTAGGTCTCTGTGCTGCTATGGCACAGGAAAACTCCGTTACTGAGGACTGAAATGCTTTGCTGTAATTATGCTTACAGGATGTTTCCTGGGAATCAATTGTTAATAGTTCCCGGGAAGGTGTACGCATACATTAGGAGCATCATTCCCTTCCCTTCTTTGAAAGCTTGATTGCTTTTAATTTTAAATATCAGAATTAAGATCCAAGTGTGGCTTCATCCTACTGCTTATTTTCCCTTCTCAGAAACAGTCTGCAGAACTGACCCAAATCTGTCCCTGTTTTCTAATGGAAAATGGTAAATCTGTACTAAAAACTCTTGGAAATTTCCATTTGTACTCAGGCAGTACTGTAGCAATTTCAAGTAAAAGTATTATGCAATAGGATCTCCAAATGTGCAGAGGTCAGTAAACCTGTTACTACTACTAGCTGCAAATAATTCTGCAAGTTCTCATTCAATAACAGTTGTGTAACCATTGGACTATCAGTCTCTAAGATAAATACTGTAAAGATAAGGTAGTGTCAAATGAATTGCCTTTGCTGCCTTTATTGCTTTTTAGAACGGAGTTGAACATGCATGCTGGCTATGATCGCGTCTTTCTTTGTAGCAATAGCATTGTGCAGCACCTAAATACTTTGGTAACTTTTCATAGATACCTAGTCTGAAAAGTCTTTACCATAAAATATAACAGTTCTGATTCAACAGAGACTCTGCATATGCTTAATTCCTACAGTTAAGCATTGTTCAGTGTTAATGACTCTTAAGCGCGTTCTTAAGTATCTGCTTAAGTGCTTTGCTAAGTTCAGATATTACACTTCCTATAGAAAAACAGCCAAAAGGAAGGCTGCAGATCTATGTGACAGACAAAGGAGAAGAAGAAAGAAGCATTCCTTAGGAGAGAGATGCTTCCTTCTGACTTTTTCTGCCCAGGTGGATGGACATCAGAAAACGTATCTCTATGGTTCCTAAAAGGATTTTTCTGAGCTGTTGCTTGTTTTGTACTATCACTTCCTTTATTAAATGACAATTGCTGTTGTCACTTATTTGACAATCCACGTTATCAGTGCAAGCACAAACAAGGACAAAAATAAATGTCTGCTAGTATGAATAGATTTATCTGTTCTCGTCCCCATGCCTTTTCCCACCAGTGCAGTTTGTATGCAGCTAACAGAACTAATCTTATTGCAGAGTAGGTTGATTGCCAAGTCTTTATCTGTGAGGGGCAAAGGGTGCTATGAAAAGGGTTGTTTTCTTTACCTCTTAGTGGTATCCCTGAACAAAAGATAAGTGTTTGAGCAGCCTCTTCTGAGAATTAACATAGGAGTTATGTTGAGGTGTAGTTTAATTTGGGAGTCTGTAGCAACCACTTGAGGAAAACGTGCAAAAGAAATGCATTAAGCTCAACGGTTGCAAGTCCAGGGAAATTGCAGCTCAGGTTAAACATGAGAGAAATCCAAGTGCGTAAAGATGTGCCGCACAGCTGTGGCACGATCGGTCTACCTGTGCTGCGTGGTGCTGCGCTGCGCTGGTGGTGTGGTTATGACTAAAGCATGCTGGTGCTTGTGGTCTAAGACCAGGCTAAGGTAAATGATTCTTCAGCTCCCTTATGTTTTGCATTTCAAGTAGCTCATGTTTTGCTTAACTGACTTGTAAATGCTTAACGCAAACGCCACAAAGGATCTCATAGAAGGACTTTATGTGGTTATATATGTTTTTGTCAAGACCCCTTCCATTTGTGGTGATAAATATAGATCATTTACATCGCTGCTGTAAACTGCTGCTTGCGTGGGGTGGTCCAGGCAGCGCAGGGCAGGCTGCGTGTCATTCATTCCCTCTGTGCCTCTGTGGACCACAAGTAAGGAGTTTCTTGCTTTGCCTGTGGTCGTCTTGCTCAAGGCATAATTTTTCTGACCGCGCTGAAAGATCCTAAGTCCCTTGGTCTTATGCACTCCTCTAGCACTTCCCATTGTAGTAAGGCTGAAAACTTTATGTAATTCCCATGTGGCTAATTTGTGTTTTTCCTGCCCATCTGCCTTCCCCATGCTGTCAGGGTTTATTTCTGCCTCAGTCCTGCCTTTGCTGTCACGTGGAATTGTGTGTTTTGGTGATGAGCCAGGTGACTGCTGGGCCTTGCTCACCCAAGGTGAGGGTGAGGTTCATGAAGGATTTATGTGCTTAAGAGCCCGTAGAGAGCCACAGCTGACAGGTGCTACTGGGGAAAAAAATTGTCATTATTTTATTGTTTTATTTTTGTCCCTGTTTTTAAGGATAACTTGAATTATATGTGAGGAGCGCTACTTCCCCTTGTTTACACTGAGATGGAGTGGTTAAAGAAAGCAGTATTCCTTGGATTCCAGTAAGGGAGGCAAGAAACTCTTAGTACTACTCTGGTAGTAGTACCTCAGCCGTGGCCCTGCAAAAAAGTGTTCCTTTCTCTAATCTTCCAAAACAAATCAGTGTTTTACCCTGTGCTGAAATGTTTCAAACCACTAACTTCTCTCAATTTTTCAGTCCCGCATGGCAGATGTCAGATGTCCGGACAGTTCTGCCTTGCATTTTGTGCGGAGCTGTTTGCGTGAAACTTTTACTAATAGGAAAAAAAGTTCCCTCAATGTCGCACTTCTGTTTTGTTCTGTTTCAGTCCTGTGCTTAGTAATAATTCATTCCTTTGTTGTTTGAATGTAGAGTGTTTCCTCCAGGAGGTTCAGACAAACATCCCTGTTCCCCAAACAATAATGGTCAATGTTTAAAAGCCAAGGACGCTGAGTTAATCCTCAGTTTTGGGTTCTGACCTTCCAGGGCTCTGAAACCATTGCTCCACTGGGAAAAATCTCCAGAAGCCTAAATGTCCGGGCCTAGCGCCGCCTCTGTCTAGGCGTAATGGCATTGCCATCAGGAGAGTTTCTGCGCTTGTGTAAGTGACAACAGATTTGGGAAATGGCCAGTCGCTTCACAGCTCACCTCGCTGTCGTGAGGGATGGAGCAGCAGACGGGCTCTCGGGAGATCCGGCCAGGAGGCCTGGTTGTGCTGTCAGACACTGCTGGATGACCTTGGGCAGCTCAGCCTCTTTCTTGTGCTTCAGTTCCCGTGTGCCAAAGTGATGCCAATGATGCCAGCGTCCTTTGTAAAGTGCTTTGAGCTGCTGATAAGAAGCACCAGATGACATCTGGATATTCATATACTTCTCTCATAATAAATACCCTGAAAAGTAAATCAAATCTGGGTTCCTTTTGCCTGAGTTAAAACCCCTCTTAATAAAACGCTCATCTGGCTGCAGTGTGAGGCATGGTGACAGATGGATATGAGGTGCTTGTTGGAGACCTGCTCAAGGTCATTGCGCTATGCGAGCTGAGGAGACGGGATCAAGTAAGTATTTTTCTGTTTCACACCTTTGTATAGGGGGCTTCAAAGGAGGAGGAGCCCCAAAGCCAACCCCATTACTTGCTTTCATCGTTCAGTGATCTCCAGTGAACCTGCTGCCAAGACCTTTCGTCTATAGGAAATGAGATCTCAGAAGGGGAAAAGAGATGACAGAGGCTCCTTTAAAGGTGCCTGAACTGTGATTCCCTCTTAGCTCTGGGCTGACCCTCCTGTGGCGCAGGACCAGCAACAGGCAAGTGGAAATTTCCTTCCTATCCCCAGTGTCTTGTGAAAACATCATAAAATGTCCATGGCATTCTTTACCCTTAGTTAAAAGAGAAAAAAAAAATCTATAAACCTGAATCCTTAATTACCCACCACAAACATAAAACATTGCAAATGATTGCTCAAGGAGGTGAAATGCCATAGCGCTTGTCTCCTGGTAGATATTTAGCATCCTGATTCGGATCCCAGGCAGATTCTTGCTGGTTGATGCAAGAGCTGTAGCGCTCATGTTGTGCTGCAGGGACCTGGGACCTTTTGTCACTGGGACAGTTTCTGCTTTACCTATTGCTGTGTGACTAATGGCCATACAGTGGTCAACGTCCCTGGCTGGGCAGAGGCGTCACAGCCATCCTGCCCATGCATCTCCACATCCTCTGCTTTGTGACCTGAGCCAGGCTTTCTTGGTCCCCCCTCCTCTAGAAATGGCTGCGATGGACAATCTGTGCAGTGATTCCTTAGAGGTTTTTTGTTACTTTTTGTTTTTGTTTTTTTTTTACTATTGGACCAATGTCAACTCTCCACATTGCTGGTGGATCGCTAGGCACCCTTGTTGACAATCTTTTAGTTGAAAACAGCGTCAGGGGCATATGGGTCCCTGGATCAGGGTTCAGTGGGCCAAGGAGGCTGGCTGACCATGTTTTAGGAACTCTGGTTTAGGCAGAACATGGGCTTAAGTTGGGAATTGGCTTTGATCTGTGGTATGCACAGGCTTCCTTTGTAATTTGAGGCAAATTACCTACTTTTTGGGGTCTGTAGGAAGAGGTAAGGTGGCAGGTCTCTCCATGCTGATGCTGTCTTTGAGGTTTTGGAGCCCCTTAGTGTCAATGTTGTAATATGAGGTAGTTGCTGAAGAAGGTGTCTTGTCTGCATGCTTAAATGCAGACGCAGCTCAGGGCTGGGCTGGCTCTGAGGTGCTCTGGTTCTCCTTCCGCTCATTTCAGCAAGGTTAGCTCTGACACTCTAGAGCTGGGTCTCATGTTAAGCCAAGGCTTAGACTTAATTTTCTTACAGGGAGCTAAGCCTTGGTCAGGAGTATGGATTTCAAACGTGTTTTTCCTCTCCCCTCATCTGCATAAACTCTTTCCTAGGGCACTGTACAGATACACGAGTGCC